GGACAGGGGACACCGGCACAGGGGACACCGGCACAGGGGACACCGGGCCGGAGGTGCGGCGTTGGAGCCGCCCGACAGCGGGGACGCGGTGACGAGGATTTGTCAGTGCCGTTCCCTTCTCCCCCACCTGCGCCTGGAGCTGGGCCGGTCCGAGGGCCGGCGGGTGGGCAGAGGACTTTAGGGAGAGTTCTGCCAGGTCCCTCGTAAGGCTCGAGCTGTGCTTGCTACAAAAGGCGGCTGAGCAATCGGTCCACAGTCTGGGCACAGAGGGAAAAGGCTGGGTATTATTCCCTCGGGATGACGGGGCCCGAGGGAGCAGCAGCTCGAGCTCTCGCAGGGGAAGTTTAGGTTGGATATCCGGGAAGATTCTTCTCTCAGATGGTGGTCGGGCACTGGAACAGGATGCCAGGGAAGTGGTCACAGCCCCAAGGCTGACAGTGTAAAGAGCATTTGGACAACGCTCCCAGGCACATGGTGGGACTCGGGCTGTCCTGCACAGGGCCAGGATTTGGACTCTCCGATCCTGATGGGTCCATCCCAGCTCAGCATATTCTTTGATTTTATGTTCCATTTTCCATGTTTTGTCATCACACGTACAGGAACTTGGCTAAACTTTTCCTTCCCAAACACACAGCAGGAAAATTGTGCTTTACAGGCTGTTCCAAGCACATTTGGTTCCTGCTTCATGTGTCACTTGTTTTTTTCCGTATAGGTGAGCAGTGGGTATGGATATGGACAGCGTGTTCACAGGCTCTTCTCTGCAGAGCCTTGCCAAACTGCTCCGTGATGCTCCAGAAGAGGATGATGACAATGATGATGATGATGATGTGGTGAGCCTTTCATAAGAGTTGCTGCTTTTTTACATATTGTACCATAGCCTTATGCTGTTAATTAAGGAGAAGCAAATCTCTTTTTCTCCAGAGTGAGTAGAAACAGGATGAAAATCTTAGAAAGTTTTGGACTGACTGAAACAGCTCGAGGATACTTTCTGAGTAACAAGCTCTTGAGGGAGATAATGAGCAAGATGCCCCAGGAAAACAAGAAAACATTGTGAGCACAACATAGGAGAGAGGTTTAGTTTTTCAGCCTGAAGGAAATGAGAACGTGGAGTTGAAAGAGCTTTAGATACTTTAGCCTTCCCCCTACATTTCCCTGAGCTCTGCTGGAGATGAAGGCAATTGCAGCCAGACATGAGGGGGAAAATTTTCTTCTCAACTTCTGATTAAGGACCAAAATATCCAGAGGCAACTGAGTGTATTAATTGTATATGTCAGGCATTGAAAACTGTAGAGATAATTGATCACTGAAGTACAGTAGGTATTTTGGTGGTTGTAAAATAGGGAAAGTTGAACAGTCATTCTAAGGTGTATAATCTGAATGAATAATGAGAGAAATATCCAAATGTATTCTTTTATATCAATTCCTCTCAGCAGCAGATGAAAATCCCAGTGTTTGGAGAACATGCATTATTCCTGCAACATGCAACACCTGCTTTTATCTAGGCCTGCCTGTGTGCTGGGAAGAAATATTGCCAGGAGCCCCACAGCTGCCAACAATGTAGAAGGCCTCTGTGAAAGCTCAAAACTTTGCCAAGTCTCTCAGGATTTTGAAAAGATCATATTATGAATAAAAAAAACCAGATAACAGAAATGGCAAATGCCTGAGTGTTCCTCCAAATCAACAAAGAGCTGGCCAGCCCCAGTAGTGGCACTGCGAGTAATATTTGGGATAAAAGGTGTGCCTATCCCTTGAAGTTTTCTTTCAGTGGGTTATAGATGTGGTCCTTCACACTCCAACTATCCTCCAGCTGTTTAATGCCTGCCTTTTAAACCCTGCATTATTGCTGTACATCTCTGCAGTAAACATCCTGATTTTAAAAATAATTTGTTTACATCTTATTAATAAAATGAATGACACTTCAGAGACAGAAATGGAAAATTGCCATGAGGGATGTCAATTAAGTCTGAGTAAATCTGGGTAAATTGAAATCTTTATTTTGATTTAATTTAATGCTCTGTGCATATGAGGCACTTTTATTGAACCGAGGAATCTTCATATATAGAGAAATTCCTCACATTGGCCTATTAGCACTAAATTGATTCATAATTAGAGGAAAATGTTGTTGCCTCATGATCTCTACTGTAAAAGGAATCCAAATGCTGTGATGGGGCTTTCATGTAGCACCCTTGGTTTCCTGTAATATTTTCATGGCAGGCAAAGCATGGAAATTCTGCCAAAATGCCATGGAAACCAAAACTCACAAAGCACATCTGTCTGTCTTACTGGGCTTCTGTGAGTCCTGTTTAAACCCTGTGTGTCAAGGTCACTTTCTGCTTTGTGAGAGTGAAGAAAAGAGAATATTCAGTGGTTCAGTCATGAAACTGTGGGATAATGTTTCTTCAATTCTATTGGGGATTTGTTTGACCTTAGATAATGTGTTGTATTTACTGACATTATGGTTGTAACCGAGCTTGGCTCTATAAAAATTGATTTAAGATGTTCTTGCCTTTCTCTGCAGCCACGCTGTTCTGTTGGTTCCATGACTCCTGGGAGTGTTGGACCAGTAAAGAAAGAAACCACCAGTAAGGAGGAGTATTTTTGTGTTTTGGCATTCAGTCTCACGTCAGCAGACTGCAGCAGCTGTAGTAAGATACCACTGCAATAAAAGAGTGGCACTGACCTTTGAGATGGGCAAAGCATGACATTTCTCACAATCACACTGTAAAATTATTCCTTTCCTGAAAGCTTAACTCTTAAAACATGCAAAGAGAAGCAGAAAGGGTAATGCCAGAGCAGCCTCCAGTGGAGATGAGAACAGCTGAGTGTACAGCCAGGGGCTGCAGGGATCATAACTGAGTAGCACAAGCTCCATATAAGTATTCAGGAAAGACAGAAAGACAGTTTTGGTAAAGACTTGGCAAGGTTAATGTTAAGTTTTTTGGAGCTGATGCTGTCACATGATTGAGCAGTTTAGTTAAGAGCCCTAAGAAAGGCCAACAAGGGCCAGGGTGAGTTTTGCAGGAAAAGAACTATGGCAAATATAATAGCTTATTTTTACTCGGGATTCCAGCAATAACCAGAGATTCTACTCTAAAAAACTTCAAGTTTCACATTTACCAGCTTGCTAAAATAATATTTTTCCATGCAGGACAGACATAAACCATATTATTCTGCCAATAAACTTTCATATGTCTTAAGCACCTTGTCTGGACTGTGCCAAATGGGAAGAACTGGATTTCTATGTGAGGAGGTGGTCCTCTTGTGAATGACTCTGCTCACTGAAAATCTCATGTCAGGGGGCTTCTGGAAGATTAGTATTTCATCTCTCTACACTTTACTGATTTTGAAGTGCTAGATATTATATGCCAGAAAGGAGGATTTCCAGGAAATAAAGGTTGGGTAAAGGAGATTTAAGAAAGGAAAACATTCTTCGTCTGTAAATCCTCATTCATAAGATAGTGAGGTGAAGAAGACTGTAATCATTACTTAGAATGCTTTTAATGCAAAGACTTTTCTAAAGCCTAGAAATACTTTTCTAGGCTTTAGAAATGGCTTTTCTTCTTTATTTTTTTAATTCTTGAAAAATATTCTAAGCTTTCAGCAAGCTTTGAGGAACAGAGACATTTCGAAATGTGTCACTGTGATTTTTCTCCTCACTTACAGGTACTTTTCAAGTGAAATCTGAAAACAAGAAAACGATTTGGAATACAGAGGAGGTCCCAGAAGGATCTGAATTTGATGATACCTGGGACCCTAGAGAAAAGCCAGAGTAAGAGAGCTGAGACTGCCTGTGTGGGCTTTACATAGCATTAATGGAAGTGAGAGTTAAACAGCATCTACAGCCAGCTGAAAGGCTTGTGTCGTGCAAGAAGAAAGGAAAGATATCAGTGTTGCATCTAAAGCAACATGTGAGGAATGGTTTTAACCTCTCTCTTGAAATCTTCTGATCTCAGAACAGAAACATAGTGTTGGTTTTTCCCATCATAAGTTTATGTGCAGTGTCAGTTACTTGTATAAAGTGGGATTAGAAGGGGAAGTAGGTCAGAAAAACGATTTATTAACTTTAAAATATGCCATTTGTGTGAAATACCTGCTTTTTCCTGCTGCAACTGAGATGCATCCATTTCTCCATACTCATAAATTCATAAAGTACTCCAATGTATATTTGCATTTCAAAGATTTAAGCTCTTTAGAGACAAATAGTACTGCAGGAAGAAAAGCTGTGTGCAGGCAATTTTGAGCTCTTAAATCTTGTCATTCAATCTTAGTCTGTCAAAGCACAACTTAAAACCAGAGCCTTTTCTCTTGCTCATAGAAAAACAGTAGCAAAAATATTCTTGAAATCAGGCATGTAAATTGTAGTTTGTAGAGGTCAGAAAGCCCTGAGGGACAGTCCATAAAAGCAGCTTTTGCATTTCCAATCAATGTTTCAATGCCATGTCCTGAAGTGTTAAATACTGCAGCAGATGGACTGTAGCCCATGAAGCTGCACATTGTGCACCAGAATCTTCACTTTTTCCTGCAGGTAAGTCAGGACATGAGGTTTTCAATTTCCCAATTAAACACAGGACTGTAGCCCACCTGAACAGGGATTCAGCCTTTCTGAAAATTAGATTTTCAATTTCCCAGTTAAACACAGGACTGAGACCCACCTGAACGGGGACTCAGCCTTTCTGAAAATTATTTGGATTTCACCCTCACGCACAATTGTCCTTGAAATGGCCACCTGTCAGGTACAGGACACACTCTCTCTCTATTGTGGGCACAAAGAAGATTTTCTCGTGCCGTCCTTTGACCCTTCCCCTCTGCAGTGCTTCTCCAGCCTCAAGCAGTTGTGCCCCATGTTGCACAGATGAAGAGAGAGTACAAGTCTTTCTAATAGTTCATCAAATGAAGCAAAGAAAACGTCCTAAAAGGAAAACAGATGGCTACAGAGGTGCATCCAGAGCTATTAGACACATTTGTCATTGACTTAGGAATTATTACATATGCAGATGCACACTGGAGATATGAAAGACTTTCTAATAGCTTAGACAAGTGATCCACCCCAGTAATTTTGCTGAACTTAGTAGGAGTAGCATATGTTATAAATACAAATTCAGTTTTCATTTCCTCGTTCATTAATTACCAAGAGCAAGGGAATACGTGATGCTACATTTTGTAGATGTGAAGGAGAAGAAAATAAATGTTGGCTGAATGCAAAACTACTATAATCTGGCTTAGAGCATTATGCTTAGGCTGCAAGAATATCCTAAAGGACAGAGCAGAGCACATGTAATAGACATCCCCCTTTTCAGATCCATTCCCCAGGGGTTTGTGGTGTTTGACTGGTTGATAAGCATCGTGTCCACTTAGGGAGCATTTCCTGCTCCTGCAAAGGCTGGTTAGGGAAGCAGAGGCAGCATGGTGAATGCTTTGGGAGATGGAGTGGATGATCTCCACCTGTCTTCCAGCTGTCTCGGTAATGGCTCTGAACAGAAACCCAGTGCAGATGGATTGGAGCCTTGAAGGGAGCCTGCAGGAGGGAGGAGAGACAGTGTGAGGAGGATTTTCAGTCCTCTGAGAATCACAGTCTCCTTTAATCTCCTGCCCCTGCTCCAGTATTACGAGGCAATGACTTCTCTTTGGCAGGTATGAGATTTCATTCAAGCAGCATGTGGGAACAGAGGATGTCTTCTTTGGGATGACTGGGAAAGACCCCTCCACTGCCTGCTGTGAAGATATAGTGGTGAGCTGAGCCTGGAGCTCTGATCCCTCCTTTGTGCTCTTTCTCTGCCCTTTTCCATCTTCCCTGCTTTTTGAGGGACAGAATGTAAACACCAAGCTCTACTGCTGCCTTTGACCTCCTGTAGCATTTTCTTGTGATTCTCCACAAGAAGATTGTGGAGATTGCACACAAGAAGATTCCATTTGTAGATTTGTACTTGCTAACCTGAGGAACTCTTGTATCTCCTCAAGGACCAAGTGTACTCAAGGGAATCTGTGCAAATGCATATGCCCCGTATAAACTTCTAGGGAATAAAATGTAGCTCTAAGGTGAAGTTTCATCTTGGACACAGTTTTGGTGAGGAGAGGGACTGGGAAGAAGATTTTTTTCATCTTCCTGCATTTTTTACAAGGTGTGTGGGCTAGCAGAATGTTACAATGCTGACAGCTTTAAGGTTCCAGCTATCAGATCCTGCCTCATCATTATATAGTCAAAGACCTCCCTGGTTTCTGAGCTCCAGGACAGGTAGAACTGCTGTGTTATCTTTCTAGCAGAAGCAAACTGTCCCTGCAATACACAAAGCCTGAGGCTTTTGCTGGATGTTGAACACCTGTCAAGCACATTAGCAGCTCAGGATCTGGAAGAGAATAGGATATCAATACACATCACTAAGCTATTGAAAGCAGTCATTATCACTGTCGTATTTTCTCTGATACAAATTGCCTACTCAAAACGTTGCTCTTTGATACTACCATTGAAATATTCATGAAAATGAGTTATTTTATGGCTTTTAGGGCAACATATGTAATCACAGCTTTACCTTTGCCCATCATTTCAGATTAAAATCAAGCTGCCAGAGACGAAGTACTCAGACATCACATTAGACATCCAGGACAAGGTTCTTGACCTTCGAACTCCCAAAAAGTAAGTGTAGCACAATTGATAGAAGTACAGTTAATATCCTGTTTGAAATGGGGTTTAGCCAAGCTTTTAACTGCAGTCTGTGTGGAAAGCAAAGCTGAAGACTGTACTATTAATTGCTCATGAAAAATAAATATTCATGAGCATAGTCCATTCATAGGTGTATAATCTGCTGGCTTTGAATCTGTGACATTGTCCAGTAAAAAGCTTTAGGACAGATTTTGGCTATTTAAAGAACAAGGCTTCAAGGGCTCAAAACATCTGGAAAAAAGCTGCCCAAGGTCTTGAAAGACTTAGTCCAGTATTTCTAAGCACTAATTTGTACAAATGTATATGACTGAAGATGGTAAAAAAGTGCAGATGAATTTTCAGTAGCTGAAAGCCAAATTATGGACATATCCAAGCACAGGTGCAGAGATGGAAATGTTACAAGGTTTCCTAAAGAGATTTCCTTTGATTTTTTTTTTTTTTATAGGGCTATTTCAAGCCTACAAAGATAATCAACTGACTGATACACTCTTGGATTTCTCAGTCTTCCTCCATCTCTCCCTCAGTGTGCTATTCCCCTGCCTGAGATTTCCAGATAATTCCCATGTCTGTTTTGCTCAAAGTCCTCCTTCACAAAGATTGCTTTCATAAGGAACCTTAATCCTCCCTGGGCTGACTTGCTGCACTGAATGGGATGTGGGCAGATCTATATGTGAATGGCCTTCTGCAGATAAATTCGAGGTGCAGGCTGTGGATTAAGGCCTAAATAAGTCCCCAGTAGACTAACTATAGAAAAGCCATTTTTCTCTGCCAAAACCAGGCAGAGTCAGTTACCCTGTGCTTGGTTTGCACCCAAGGATGCAACAGGAGTGGAAGAAGGTTTGGGAATGTTAGTTTTGAAACTGGAAAATTGGGAGGAATAATTGTTCAGCTAATGACTTGCCGAACCTGTGGGCAGTAAAAGAAGTAGCTTAATGCAATGCTGCAGATGTAGGAAAACCTCAGCATCCTTTTCTTTTTGCAATTCTATCTTTTTGGTGACTCAGATCTGCCATTATATCCTCAGTACCCAGCTGTCTCTAGTCACAAGCATAGCAAATAAAAAGTTCACCATAAATCTGATGGTTGCTTGGGTACAGCTTGAACCAGTGCTGCTTTCACAAATACAAGTGCAAGTCTTCTCAGTATGAAGGAAACAATCAAGATGTCCAGTTCTACATACTGAAAAACTTTGTTCTCCCACAGATGGGTAGGAAAACTCAAAGCAACTGCTTCCAGCTCTGTAGTTCTGGGGCTGCTTCTAAGCCAAGCAGCTTTTATGTGATGGAAATAATTCAGGGTCAGTCTTGCTGTGTGTGGGGTATTGCAGGAACCCCACAACCTGTGACAATAAGGAGATCTATTGGAATAACATTCCCTGGCATACTGACTGAGGAATTGCAGGAGTAACTTGCAATGACATCTCAACTGCTCACCTGATCTGAGGCACTGACATTCTCTGTGTCCTCTTTTACAGGAAGCTGCTGCTGCACCTCCCCTACCCTGTGAACAGCAAGGAGGGTAGAGCTCGTTTTCTCTCTGAAGAGGAGATCTTGGAAGTCACCTTGAGAGTATCAAGGAAGTTTGATTTCATAAATTTTTCTGATGGATAGAGAGATGGATAGAGAAAGTTTGCAAAAAAGTAATGTTCTAGTTTGAAGTCTTTTGGAAACCCAGCTTGTTCTGAAATAGTAGATTTTTTTCCCTTGAACAGTCCAGGGGAATGTCTCTGGAGAAATGAGTCAGGAGGAACACAGTACCCACAGGTTCTAACAGCTGATGCTGTCTGGCTCTTACACTGCCCTGGTTAACTTTGTGCTTCCTTCAGTCTGACACAGACCCTGTGAATCAGAAAGTGGGAGATTTCAGTTCTGTAAGCCAGAGAAAGCCTTTTGTGTGGCTGTGGCTGAGAAGTAGCACAGTGAGCCTCTGGACAATGAGTCTGGTGCTTTGGTACCATTTCAAGACTTGCAGTGTCCTTGAAATGTGCTAATGTCCTTGCTTGGTCTCCAGTGCTGGGAGTGGGGCCAGTTCAGAATCTTCTCTTGCCTATTTCTTGGTGAGAAGATCAAAGTTCTTCTCTTCCTCCACATCTGAGGCTCTTTTATACTGGCAGAACAAGTTAACCAGCTATAGTTGGATTGCTGAACATCTCAGCTCTTTTGAACAGTTTTTTGACAATTTATGGTTCAGTGTTGTCTATTCATCTGCTGTCCCTCCATCTATTTTTCTGATCTTTCTTGATTAATAAAATAAGAGGTTCTAAGGAACAGTTCCAATTATCTTTGAGTCTGCCTTCTCTATATCATGTGAAAGTTGAGATAAGAGGAATTTTGCATAACAAAGCTTCTCTCAGAGGGCTGAAATGCTGCAAAATCTGTTCTTTGGCCTTCAGGTCCATCCAGAGATGGGTAACCAAGGTGTTTCTTTCAGTAGCTGCTGGGCAAATATATTCATTTAACATTGTTAGTCCTGCAGGAAATACTTGCTCAGTGATCAAAGTGGAGAGGACAAGCAGGCCCTCGCATGTTAAACGTACACTCAACCAAAAGCCTGTGTGTACTTTCAGAGCAAAATGGCTTGAGTCCTGCATTCTTCTGGGGTGGAAATAGAAGAAAATAATTGACCAGCTAGGCTGCAGACAGCACCCATGCAGCTAAATTTGGCAGGCTGTAATGAGAAGATGGCTACTCCATGATGGATTGCAGATGCTGACAGTGAGTTTCAAGGTGTGGTCACAGTACATTTGTAATATACTGTGTTATAACTCCAGGACAAATTAGGCTGATGTCTGGACATTTCAACCACTTCCCTGAAAAGTGAACCATTGCTTGGGTCAAAACAATCCTAATCAACTTCTGCTTTAGCCTTAATGCACTGGAAAGCAGATACTTCAGTTATGATTCATCACAAGCTATGAAATGTGCTGGTGACACTCAGGGGCTACTCCAATTGGTATCTGCTTAAGTTTCCATAAATTAGATCTGAATGTCTCTTATTCCAAAGCTGTGGTTGAGCAGGACAATGTAGATGCATGAGAAAAGGCTGACATCATTCCTCCTGACTCAGTTTTTCCCTCCTGTGCTTGCCAAACAAGCTGATTCTTGGGAAAAGGTTGTCTTTGTGGTCCCTAGACAATATGCTGCTTAATTTTTGCATTTCTTATACATGTTACAAGAAAAGTGTAAGGTATTTATATCCATGTGGAGGTAACATTTGTCCAAATTAATTCAGTATATCCACAGCTCTTCTGAGCCCTATGCCAGCGCTCTATCCACAAGGTTATATTGCCTTTTTAATTGGCAGTAGTAATTTACTAAGCCTAAATCATCAAGTTCTGCTTAATTTAATGTCAGTGTTTGATACTGAAAACAGTGATGAGTCTGGCTCATTGTGCCTCTCCCCAGTGTTTTAGTTTCCTCTGGAAATGAGCATATGCCACACTGGTATCCGTATCATAATTTATCTCCAAATATTTTTGAACCTGAGGGCATTTTATCAGCATTCAGGAGACAAAAATCTGAGGTAAGTATGTTCTGTACAAAAGCCAGCTGCAGAATAGGAAAGGGAAGTACAAATTTCTATTGCTTAAGGGGGAGGCTGCAATGTGATTTCTTGCACCTGCTGGCCACTCACTCTGTGCATCCACCTCCAGGCTCCTGTAGGTCATCAGTCAGGGGGACCTGGCAGGTTGGTGACACTGGATAGGAAAAGGTTGATATCCTGGCCAGGGGGAGGCTGAAATCACAGAGTGAGGATAGAAGAACACAGGGAATAAACTCATAAGCAACCAGACTTTGTGTGTTCCACTCAGGAGAAGCTCTACTGCCCTTTTCACTAAAGTGGGGACACTGCTTTGGGGGTGGGAAGTTTGCTGGGCAGGATTCACTGCCTGAAAGCACCATCATCACCTGGAGAGCCTCTCACATTCTCACTTTTTCCTATCAAGGACACAGAGGCTGCCCTAGGCAAAATTTTGAGGTTTGGGGTTTGGATTTTTTCCATATATCCTCCCAAAAGGAAGCTGGTTGAAACGACTCGTGGGTTGTCAAAATTCCCAGGGATCTGGAGGCTACTGCCAGCTACAAGAGCTGGCTTTTTTGCACAAGCTTGAGGGCAGCTTTGCACTGTCAGAAATCCTCCAGGAGATGAACCCCCTTTGCTTCTGAACATCAACGCTGCTGCCGAAGTGCCACTCCAGCACCTGCAAGCATCTTAATTAATCAAAATTATAAGCCCAGTTAAACAACCCAGCCATTAAGCCCCAGCCATTAAGCATCATCAAGCTTTATTTGGTTCCCATAAGAAGCAGCTTGATTAAATGTATTGCAGTTAAGTAGAGGGTACTGGAGATGCGGAACTGAGATAGAGGCTTGTTTGCAGTAGTATCCCAATAAACTGCAGGTTCTCATCTCACCTTGTCACACATTCTGTCCTCCAGTTGTGGTTGCAGAGCCACCATCCCCATTTTGACTTGTTCCTGCCTTCTCTCAGAACTATGGTGGTGTGCTAAAATGCACAGCCCAGCTCACTCTCTGAATTTCACCTCTCTTCAAATTCCCCTTTGTCCACTTACTGTCCTGGGGCCAAGACACTTGCTTCATTCTGTAGCTTGAGGAAGAGAAAAGCCAGGTGAGTTGCTCCTATAAACACCTGACAAAGTACAAGAATTTAAATGATTCCCTTTAACCTGTAGGCTCTCATTCTCATCTTCCTCCAGGTCTGCTGTTGATATCATCATACACCCCATCTATTTGTCTTAAAAGACAACTTCATTTTTCTGCTGTTCAGTTTAAAGTCTGTATCCAAACTTTGTGTACTTCTTGCACTGTGTGAAACACTGCTTTATCAGTATATCCTTCCCTCCAGACAAAGTTTATCTAAAATGACTAAGCTGTACCTACGTGTACAGACAGATCTGTCTCCCTCATGCTGGAGCAGCTCCTTTTCAACCTGCTGGTGTTGGTGTAGACTTTTACCCTCTGTCTGCAGCACCTGCAGCAACAATTCCTCCTTGTTCTCTGGGATCCCCTTCAGGAGCTGCTGCCACAGACAGTCATTGTTGTCTGCCCGTGGTTCTGGCTCCAGGGAAGGTGCCTGGAATATGCTGGGGGCTGGTTTATTTTTTTCCTGTGATCTTCACTAACAGGAGGTGATTTGTCTCTTGGTGTCTCTCTTTGTGTCTCTCTTCATTCTGTTTTCTCCTTCAGGCAGAATTCACTTTCAGATTGTGATGAATTCATCAGAGGATGGTGAACAGCATCCCTGTTTTTCCCTTCCCCTCACGATTGTTTGTTCTGTGCTCTTTTCAGGGGACTCTGATGTCTCCTTTCCTAAGTGCTTTATCTCCCTGGATTGTTGTCACATTAGGACATTTCTCACCAGAGCCTCCTGACAGGTTGCAGTTGACAAATCTGACCCTTGTTGGACGTGCCTAACGTGGGTGAAGTGTGAGATTCATTTCCCCTCACTCAGATCAGTGCTGGCTGAAAAGCTCTGTCCTTCCTTGATGTGTGTCCTGTCTGTGAGGGTGGGAAGGGGACACAAGCACGAGCACCAGGGACAAACCTGGATCACAGCACAAAAGCAGCAGATGCTGCAGGCTGTGTGAGGAGTGCTGACAGAACTGACAGGCCTCATGAGGCCTTGCTTCAAATGTAGCCAGTACCACACGTGGAATCTGGTTGTGAAGAAATTAACCAAGTCAGAAAAAGCCAGAATCATTCAGAATTTCAGCCTTCCCCAAGGCCTGAAAGTTTCTCTCTGCTTCCTGATGTGCGTCCCCACATCCCAGATGAATACTTAAAGAAGTTTCTGAAATCCACTCCAGGGCAACAGTGACACAGGCAACACAGGAATGCCTTTGGTTTTGGAGTACTTCTCTCGATCCGTATGAATCTTTGATCATTTGGGACTTTCTCATCTCAAGGCCTCCCTTTCATCTTTTTTCTCTGCCTTCACACACTCATTTCTGAAGAGAAGATCATAGGAAGTTGCCAGAACGATAGCAGATACTGTCCACCTACAGTCCTTAGAGACCATCTCTCTGTAATTGGGTGTCTCCTTTGTGGCTCCCAGCAGCCTGAAAATTCACTTCTGATGCTGATCAATATTTTCTTTAACCATGCCATTTTAACTTGATGGTATCACAACCCAGCAAACATTGCCAAGAGTGCTGTGTGGTATTTACTGAAGCAATTCTCTGATTCTATTTGGCAACCTGTCTCCTGCAGCTGCCGAGCAGAGAGAAAAAGAGCCACACACCCCTTCTGGAAAACTCTTGTCATGTTGGACAGCTGTGAAAAAAGGAACAGGATAGGAATGGAGATGAACATAGCTGATTTTGTTAAGTCATCAGGTGATGTGGGCAAGGCAGACATTTACCAAACAGTGGTAGATTAGGAACTGTACAAATGTAAGCACCAATACTTGAGTTTAATGACGTGGTGAGCTCCGGGTGGGTTCCACCCCTCACAGGGGCCCAGGTAATGAGAGTTTATATCAGTCCTGGGGGTTTCTGTGACTGGGAACCCTGGTGATGGGATCTCCTGACTCAGATTCCTGTAGCTGTGTCCCCAGGCTGCTCTTGGGGGGCACTGTGGCAAGCTGGCAAGTTTATAGAGGGGAATGAGGGAGTGACTTCACCTGGGAGAGTCAGCTACACCTTTTCTCACCTGAGCTGAGCCCAAGGGAGCCAGAGGGCTCCATCCAGGAAGAGTTAGGTGACAAGGAGCAGCTCTGTGAGAAACTAGGTGAGCAGGGGCTGTGTTTAAGGCAAAATAAATGGTGGGTGTGGAGTGAGACTCTGGAAGTGATGAAGTGATGTGAACTGCGCAAAAGCAGGAGAAGAAAGACATTATCAAAGTTTCTTCAAAACCACTGTGTTGAAAGGGAAGTTCAGAGCAGACAGCCACCCTGAGCTTAGAGCTGATGAGATACCTTTTT